TTATTTGTTGAAACTGTACTTCCGATTTGAAAAAAAAAAATAAATAAATAAATAAATGCCGTTCAATACTAAAAAAAAAAAAAAACACTTAGCTAAGTAACTCAGTAGTTGTACATCCTAGAGTGAAAAGGACTTGCCCTTATCTTCCTAGGATGTTCTAGGATGTGGTTCACTGGGTCAGCTTGAGAAGTTTAAAAGCCTAACTAAATGATTCAGCGGGGGACCAGGGTCCATGAGTGCTACCGGCCCCCCTGTTGTGGCGGTAGCCTGCTCACCATATAAGGGAGGAAAATAGGCTTGTGTGCCCCCCACCCTTTTTGTTTTTCACTCTTTCTGCTTTTGCTGTCTTGAGAAGCCTCAAAGTGTTGCCCCTGAACCATGCCTGCCTGCTTTGAAGCCAGCTGATTTGTTTGTTTTGTTTTGATACAGGGTCTCGCTATACAGTTCAGACTGGTAGTGATCCTCCTATCTTAGCCTCCCTAGTACTGGGATTACAGGTGTGCACCACCACATTAAGACATGTGCCACTATAGAGGACCCACACAGAACGCAGTACAGAGGATTGAACTCCAGACCCTGGGCTTGCCAGGCAGGCGCTTAAGCCACTGAGCTATCTCCCCAGCCCATGAGCTAGCTGATTATGGACTGAAACTTCCACAAACTGTGAGCTTGCCTTCCTTAATTTTGGGTGTTGGGTGTTTTGTCTCAGCAACAAGAGAAAAATTAACCAAGGCTCCAAGTTTCAGCAGGGCCAGGAAAGTAACATTAAACACATGAAATGTTCCACATAGGAGAGTGACTTCGGCACCAACTTGATAAGTGGCACACGGTTCCCCATCTTTGTGTCCAACACACAATAGGGCTCTCAAAGTATATTCCCTGGACCAAGATACAATAGGGCAGTGGCTCTCCAAGAATATTCCCTGGACCAGTAGTATCATCTAGAAGCTCAGAAATGCACATTTAGTGGTTCAGAATGGATAGACTAAGAAATCTGGAGGTGGCAGCAAAGTGGGGAGTACATGTATTGTTTTAAAGATGCAACTACCATTGAGTTTTAGCCACTTAGAAATGGATCTTGTGCTCCTCACGGGCTAATTTCAAATTCATTAAGAATGATGTTCAACGACCTCCGCAAACTCCTTACAAACTGCCTTGCTAACTGCATCTCCACTTAGCAAATGCCTGCTGTCCACACCTGCAAGCCTCTGTGCTGTGAATTTTATTCATAGACACTATTTTCCAGTGCTTCCCAGAGAATGCTAGCATAATCTCAGAACAATGCCATAGGGAGTTCTATTGTTATCTAAGCCACAAAGGAGCAAAGACACTTGCCCAAATTCCAGAAGCCAGATTCAAGCAAGGTTAGGCAACCCCATCCAGCCAGGGTTCTCAGTCACTATCATGTGCTTTCTCTGGGCCTGGGTGGTCCTCTGTCACCTGTTTCTGCCTCTACCAAAGGTAAATACAAGCTGCAAAGTCCTGCTCAACATAACTCCCACCTAGGCCGGAATTCACTGGTATGTGGTCCCAGAGTACAGAATATATACTCCAACCTGTATTGGGGTGGCTGTATACCACTCATTCATCCTTCCAATCAACAAGCTATTGCTGACCCCTGCTACATACCATGATGGCATTCAAATTGAGAGTGACCCTGGCAAAGTCCCTGCCATTATTATTAAAAAGAACTACTTCAGAAATCAGTGTGGAGATTCCTCAAAAAACTAAATCTAGAGGTTCCATTTGACCCAGCTATTCCTCTTCTTGGTATCTTCCCAAAAAAATTAAAAGCACCAGAGACTAGGCATGGTGGTACGTCCCTGTAATCCCAGCTATTGGGAAGCTATGAACAGGAGGATCACTAACAGTCTGATCTAGTAGTGAGACCCTGAGCACCCTGTAGACCCTTCCCTAAAATACAAAAAGAAAAGAATTAAAAAGCATCATGCCACAACAATACATGCACATCCGTTTTATAGCAGTAGAGTTTGTAATAGCTAAATCTTGGAAATAGCACAAAAGCCCATTAATCTGTGAATGGATATAGAAGATGTTATTTTTTTATAAAATGGAGTACTAATCTGCCATAAAGGATAAACTTGAGATATTTCTAGGTAAATGGATGCACCTTGAGACCACACTCTTAATTTTTTTTTTTTCGGTACTGGGGATTAAACTCAGGACCCTGCACTTGCCAGGCAAGAGCTTATTCTACTAAGCTATCTCCCCAGCCCTCTCACACTCTTAATTTAAATAAATCAGACACACAGATTCAAATATCACATTGTTTCTCTGGTGTGAGAAACTGAAAACATAAATAAGGACCAAAATGTATAACAGATATTGTGAAATAGGAAAAACTTGTTCAAATGTGGAGGGGAACTAGAGAGGGAGGAAGGAAGAAGAAAATAGAATGAAAAAGTGGAAGCACAGCTTTTATAAATAAGGGAGAGGAGGAGAATGGGAAAAAAAGAAAAAGCAAGATATATCATGCACGCATACAAATTTCCTATGATAAATGTGATCATCATATGCACCTAAAATATACCAATAAAATTAAATTTTTTAAATTAAAAAATAAAAATAAGATGAATACAAGTTAACATTTCTGGAATTCTATCATGCTACATACACAGTTCCAAGGTTTTACATGTATTATTACATTTGAGTCTCACGACACCTGCATCCCATGATGCAGATGAAAAATGCAGAGAGCGAACAAAGAGGGAGAATGACTTTGCAGCACTCACATAACTGAAGTGTCGGGCACCAGAGTTGGTTTTCCAAGAGGACAGAAAAATACCCAGAAGTTATCCCACAGGGTATAGCAAGGTAGAAGTCAGAAGAAGGTGTTGTGGAAGCACTGAGGAATAGCTGTACCAACACACTTCTCTTTTGTCTTTTCTTTCTTTCTTTCTTTCTTTCTTTCTTTCTTTCTTTCTTTCTTTCTTTTTTCCTTCTTTCTTTGCTGTCTTTCTTTTTGAGACAGGGTGTCATTATGGCCTTGAACTCATTATTCACCGGAGGCTGGCCTCTAACTCACAGCAATCCTCCTGCCTGGCCTGAGTGGTAGAATTACGACATCTGGCTTACTAGCATATTTTGGAGTCCTTCTTCTCCACCACCCCCCAGCTCTGAGTTTCCCCACAACCATGCCATAATATTCATATCTGTTGTATCCCAGCCCCTGGCCTATATCCTAGAGCTCAGATTATTATTCTGCCTAGCAAAAGTGTCAACATCTTAGAATAACTGCCTCAAAATTCTATTTGGGGGGAGTTTTGAAGGAATGAGGCTACAAACCACTGAAAAATAGGGTAAAGAATAAAAAAGGAGCTAAGCATTCTTCATTTGGACTCCATGAAGGACAGTGCCATTCAACCACAGTGAAATGCTTGGTTTGTTGACCGTCTGCATTCACAGACTAATCCCACTGTCCGCTGATGAAAGCTTAACATACAGGGTCCGTGGTAGGTAGGTTCAGACACATTGGTGAGACGCCCCACTGCCCACAATGCCTGGTAAGATAATGGCTTCAGCGTTATCACTCACTTCCTTTCCAACTCACACTCTAAGCACATACTCTACACATGCCACATGTGTGCTCCCAGTTACTCAGAATTTTGAATTACAAGTCTCAGTTCCCACAGCTTCCTTCAATGCCAGAAGTATCGGTCTGATCTTGCTGTACACCAAAGGCAATCCTTACCAGTCCTAGGGTCTTGGGATTAGAAGGGAAAGCAAGAAGCTATGGAAACATCCTCAATGCCCACTAACAGATGAACAGACAAAGAAAATGTGATACACATGCACAGAATGGAATATTATTCAGCCATAAAAAGAATGAAGAAATCATGTCTTTTGCAGAAAAATGGGTAGACCACTGAGTTAAGTGAAATAAGCCAGCCAGAAAATCAAATATCATGTACTTTCTCTGATACAAAAAACTTAGAAAACTTCTTTAAAAATAGATGATATGAAAGTAGAAGCAAGACTATTAGAGAAGAGGAAGGGGATAGAGAAAGGGGTGAAGGTAGTGGTCAAAGTAAATGACATGCAGGTATGAACATGACAAAATGAAATCCACTATTGTGTATAGCTAACATGCACTACTTAAAAAAAAAAAAAAAAGAATTGAAGCAGAACTGTAGACATTTGAAGATGACATAGTGACACAACTGCAAGCAGAAACACCAGGTGGAGATCATTACCAGAATATCAACCCTGATCTCTGGTGCTCTAGGGCTTCTATGAGATAAGCAAACAGGAATTAAAGAGGCAGAATGGTTTGTCATTTGGGGATTGGTTTATACAATGTGCATTACAGTGACCAGTTTCTAAGAGACAGAAGCAAGCAGAACTGGAACAGGAACTATTACCTGGGCAACTAAGAAATTGAAGCATATAGGCTCAGGTTAAGGGACATATATTCTGCCATAGTGATAGCAGCTATTTATCAAGCATCCATGTGCCAGGCACTATACCAACCTTTAAAAATGCTATTCCTACCCCACTGCTAGTTTTGTAAGGAGCTATGGTTTGTTTCATCTGACAGACGTAGAACAGAAGCTCAGAGAAGCCAAGGATGTGCCTCCAGTCACTAGGCTACTACATAAGTAAGGAAGCCACGATTCAAACAAGGACAGACTCCAAAGTTTTTGGATCATACAAAACTACTTCTCAATAATTATGGTGATGGGGTGGTGGTGATAATGGTGGGTGGTGAAGATGGTATATAAATTATTTGCCATTATGAAAAACAACAGTACCTGAGATGTTTTAACCAAAGTAGAAGGACTTTACAGTGAATCACAACAGGGTCAGAATTTCAGCAGGGCTTGGCTGGCCACATTTACTTCCACAGCTTGCTTCCTGATTAGGACAGGCAGAAGACAAAGCCAATTAGAGTGCTGTAGGTTACCTGGAAACCACACACCCCAGAGGCAAGGACACACACTTTCTCCAGACTGAATGATCAGCAGACTGCTTGTCCCACAGCTGGGATTAGAGACACAGGTAAAGATGACTCACTGTCATTAGGAAATCTGAAACTGTGTTACCAGCCTCTACATGCTTTGATGGGATCCCAGGAAACTTCCCAATCCTCGCCCAACATCACAAATTCATGACCTAAAAGAATATTAGTGCTGGCATTTCAAACTTTCTTCATTGCTGAGAAATTGGTTTCTGCTTGTGGCAATCCTATACCCAATATTTAAAAAGGGAGAGAAAGTTTCCTGTCCTTGCTTGACATACCCTCAGTAATAGGCGTTCAGCACCTCACAATGTAGCCATCTGACTATGAAACAATTCCTGGAGACCTTATGGTTCTCCTGAAACCTACCCTCCTAAAATCTGTCAAAGGTAACCTACACAAGGTTGAGCAAATACCTGCTTTTTAAATGTAAATTGACAGCTAGACAACAGCAACACCTTATTGTCTTTTTTTCCCCCAAGAATGAAGCCAAGAGGAGAACCTGGAGGTGCCAGGCTCCTCAGTGGCTAACAGGCAATCATTTACCAACCTGCCCTGGTTTGCAGGCTCACTGCACAGTGCCTGCCCCAGGGAACTCAGGCATGTCATTAGTGCTAGCTGTTGTGGCTGCCAAGGAAACCTTCCCACAGTTTGCAAACATGCTCCGTACACACCAGAGGCAAGGGAGCACTGAACCCCAATGGAAACATCAGGAACCCAGGGACTCCCCTGGAGTAGCACCACTCAGCTCTTGGACTACACATTGGGTTCTGCAATTTTCCCAAGAAAGGAGTCTCCCTCCCATTCTTTTCTCCTGTTTCTCTTGGGGGGTCTACATCCATTCTCAGAACTTACAAGCATCAACAGACCTACTTCATCAAACGCAGAGCTCTCCCTTGCAGCCTCCTATTCAGGCCAGTTTAAGGAGATATTTTTCTTTTTATTCATTTATTTCTGGGTGCACGGTGCATGGATCAATCCCAGGGCTGCATTATACATGTTAAGCATGAGCTCTGCCACTCAGCAGCATTCCCAGGCCCAAAGTGACATTTTTAAAAGACACTGTTCACATTTTTGTCAAAAGATTGTTCCAAGTTTTACCACATAGGACTGGAATAGGGAGATTAGCTCAGTAGAATAAGCACTTGCCTGGCAATCTCAGGGTCCTGAGCCCAATCCCAGGACAAAAAAAAAGAAAGAAAAGAAAAAGAAAAAGAAAAAGAAAAAGAAAAAGAAAAGAAAGAAAAAGGGGAGACCTAGAGCGCGGGTCCTGCAAGTGAGTGAGACGACCACCGAGGGCCGCGGGATCCTGAACAGACCCGGAGTGCAGGCCCGGCGAGTGA